AGAACTAGAACAGAACTAGAACAGAACTAACAGAACTAGAAACAGAACTAGAACAGAACTAGAACAGAACTAGAACAGAACTAGAACAGAACTAGAACAGAACTAGAACAGAACTAGAACAGAACTAGAACAGAACTAGAACAGAACTAGAACAGAACTAGAACAGAACTGGAACAGAACTAGAACAGAATAGAACAGAACTAGAACAGAGCTAGAACAGAACTAGAACAGAACTAGAACAGAACTAGAACAGAACTAGAACAGAACTAGAACAGAACTAGAACAGAACTAGAACAGAACTAGAACAGAACTAGAACAACTAGAACAGAACTAGAACAGTACTAGAACAGAACTAGAAGAACTAAAACAAAACTGACCGCCTTCTAAGTATTTTTGTAATTAAATGAAAATTTACATTATTTACCTATTATCGACATGATGTAAACAATGTAAATTATTAGCATTCCATTTAAAAAAGCATTTTACTTCGTTTCAAAACATAAGAAAAGCGTTGAAACATTATTTTCTATTATTTACTTGATGTAAACATTACGATCAATGTAAACAATCAACATAATTTCCTTCATAATTTCCATATTTAAATAAAAAATGTATAACATTATTTTATATTTACTCTATGTAAACATAATGTCAAATATGTAAACAACTAAAATTTTGATGTAAACTTAATGTAAACAATTTAAATTCAGTTAGTAACAAGCAACTTTTTAAATTTTTTCTTAACATAATAAAAATTACATTATTTACCTTATTGTTGACATGATGTAACACTTGTGTGATTTAGAAGATTATTTTACATTATGTAAACATGATGTCAAAACTTAAAATTTAATTAGATTTAAGCTTATTTCTTTTTGGTTAACTATTAAGTTATAATATTTATTATTTAATATTAATTTATATTGTTACTGTTAATATTAATTGTTATTGTTAATATTAATTTATATTGTTTACATAATGTAAACTTTATGTCAAACATATGAATAAAACTTAATTTTAATAAAAATTTCTTAAATTTACTTATTTAAATAAAAATTTATAATATTTCCTATACATATCATGATGTAAACAATGTCTATATTGCAATATTTGCATAATTCAAAACAATTTACATAACTTTCTAACAAACGTAAAATCAATTTCTTATTTTCTTAAAGCAAAAGAAAGTAGTTTTCCGACTGCCTTATATTAACAAATTATTAAACCGATTTAATTACTAAACCATGCCCTAGTTGGAAATAATTACCGACAGTCTCAATATATTGACAAATAAACGCAATATTTATTTTCGTATTTTTAATTTGTAACAAATCGTATAAAAAACTAAGTAGCACACTAATTGAATTATTTTTTCCCCCAATTTAATTATCAAATATTTACTTACTTGTGTAATACAATATGCTAAAAAAAATGGACAGACAAAAACTGCTACATTACTCTGTCCATATGTCTGTCTGTCCATATACATATTTTCATACATATGTATATTTTTAAATGCAAATGTTTTAGTTTTCCAATTTTTCTTTACATTTTTTGCTTATTTATTGATAGACAATTTGTAAATTTTTACTTTAAAATTTTTTTCCTGTTATTACAACATTTGATATTTTCATTAGTTTTATGTAGTTGTTTGTTTAGTTATACAAATGTACAAAGTACGTAATGTATGTAAATGTGTTTGCTGCATCATTGCGTTTTTAGACGAAAATGATGATATGATGAAATTTTTTGTAGATTTTTTTCTATTTAACAAAGTTAAGTTTCTGTTGTTGTTGCAGTTTTTGAAAATGTAATAAATAAATTTTGCAGACCACAAGTAATTGTGGTACGATAAGGAAAACATTTAAAAATGCATTTTGTTTGTATATTTTAAATTAAGTTTTGCAATAAGATACCACAATAGAACTATGAACATTATATTATCTTTAAGTAGAATGCAAAATTCTTAAATAATTGCTAAAAATGGGAAGTTACGAAGTTTGCAATGAATTGGAATTTCTATAATTGCTATATATTTCATAATACAAATGATGCAAAAATAAAACTAAGGAAGCGGAAGTACCGAAAACCTCAGATGTACTACATAGTAAATAGAACAGAACTAAAACAGAACTAGAACAGAACTAGAACAGAACTAGAACAGAACTAGAACAGAACTAGAACAGAACTAGAACAGAACTAGAACAGAACTAGAACAGAACTAGAACAGAACTAGAACAGAACTAGAACAGAACAGAACTAGAACAGAACTAGAACAGAACTAGAACAGAACTAGAACAGAACTAGAACAGAACTAGAACAGAACTAGAACAGAACTAGAACAGAACTAGAACAGAACTAGAACAGAACTAGAACAGAACTAGAACAGAACTAGAACAGAACTAGAACAGAACTAGAACAGAACTAGAACAGAACTAGAACAGAACTAGAACAGAACTAGAACAGAACTAGAACAGAACTAGAACAGAACTAGAACAGAACTAGAACAGAACTAGAACAGAACTAGAACAGAACTAGAACAGAACTAGAACATAACTAGAACAGAACTAGAACAGAACTAGAACAGAACTAGAACAGAACTAGAACAGAACTAAACAGAACTAGAACAGAACTAGAACAGAACTAGAACAGAACTAGAACAGAACTAGAACAGAACTAGAACAGAACTAGAACAGAACTAGAACAGAACTAGAACAGAACTAGAACAGAACTAGAACAGAACTAGAACAGAACTAGAACAGAACTAGAACAGAACTAGAACAGAACTAGAACAGAACTAGAACAGAACTAGAACAGAACTAGAACAGAACTAGAACAGAACTAGAACAGAACTAGAACAGAACTAGAACAGAACTAGAACAGAACTAGAACAGAACTAGAACAGAACTAGAACAGAACTAGAACAGAACTAGAACAGAACTAGAACAGAACTAGAACAGAACTAGAACAGAACTAGAACAGAACTAGAACAGAACTAGAACAGAACTAGAACAGAACTAGAACAGAACTAGAACAGAACTAGAACAGAACTAGAACAGAACTAGAACAGAACTAGAACAGAACTAGAACAGAACTAGAACAGAACTAGAACAGAACTAGAACAGAACTAGAACAGAACTAGAACAGAACTAGAACAGAACTAGAACAGAACTAGAACAGAACTAGAACAGAACTAGAACAGAACTAGAACAGAACTAGAACAGAACTAGAACAGAACTAGAACAGAACTAGAACAGAACTAGAACAGAACTAGAACAACTAGAACAGAACTAGAACAGAACTAGAACAGAACTAGAACAGAACTAGAACAGAACTAGAACAGAACTAGAACAGAACTAGAAACTAGAACAGAACTAGAACAGAACTAGAACAGAACTAGAACAGAACTAGAACAGAACTAGAACAGAACTAGAACAGAACTAGAACAGAACTAGAACAGAACTAGAACAGAACTAGAACAGAACTAGAACAGAACTAGAACAGAACTAGAACAGAACTAGAACAGAACTAGAACAGAACTAGAACAGAACTAGAACAGAACTAGAACAGAACTAGAACAGAACTAGAACAGAACTAGAACAGAACTAGAACAGAACTAGAACAGAACTAGAACAGAACTAGAACAGAACTAGAACAGAACTAGAACAGAACTAGAACAGAACTAGAACAGAACTAGAACAAACTAGAACAGAACTAGAACAGAACTAGAACAGAACTAGAACAGAACTAGAACAGAACTAGAACAGAACTAGAACAGAACTAGAACAGAACTAGAACAGAACTAGAACAGAACTAGAACAGAACTAGAACAGAACTAGAACAGAACTAGAACAGAACTAGAACAGAACTAGAACAGAACTAGAACAGAACTAGAACAGAACTAGAACAGAACTAGAACAGAACTAGAACAGAACTAGAACAGAACTAGAACAGAACTAGAACAGAACTAGAACAGAACTAGAACAGAACTAGAACAGAACTAGAACAGAACTAGAACAGAACTAGAACAGAACTAGAACAGAACTAGAACAGAACTAGAACAGAACTAGAACAGAACTAGAACAGAACTAGAACAGAACTAGAACAGAACTAGAACAGAACTAGAACTAGAACAGAACTGAACAGAACTGAACAGAACTAGAACAGAACTAGAACAGAACTAGAACAGAACTAGAACAGAACTAGAACAGAACTAGAACAGAACTAGAACAGAACTAGAACAGAACTAGAACAGAACTAGAACAGAACTAGAACAGAACTAGAACAGAACTAGAACAGAACTAGAACAGAACTAGAACAGAACTAGAACAGAACTAGAACAGAACTAGAACAGAACTAGAACAGAACTAGAACAGAACTAGAACAGAACTAAAACAGAACTAAAACAGAACTAGAACAGAACTAGAACAGAACTAGAACAGAACTAGAACAGAACTAGAACAGAACTAGAATAGAACTAGAACAGAACCAGAACAGAACTAGAACGGAACTAGAACAGAACTAGAACAGAACTAGAACAGAACTAGAACAGAACTAGAACAGAACTAGAACAGAACTAGAACAGAACTAGAATAGAACTAGAATAGAACTAGAATAGAACTAGAATAGAACTAGAACAGAACTAGAACCCCTATTTTTGCAGTAAAAAATAATAAATAAACAAACATTATTTTCTATTTATCTGACAAAAGTTCATTTAGCACAATTTTATTAATTTAACTATTTATCTAACGGATTTAGCCTTAAATATTTCTGGATTTAATTTAATCAATTGTCTAAATATGGCAATAGTGCAATACAACTAATAATATTTATACCTTCAAGCCTTAAACAATAAAACAATTAGAGCAAAATAATTCAATTGTTGCTAAAATTAATTGTATAAAATAAAAACATAGATAATTTATTTAATTTAAATAATGTCATATATAAATTGGTAAATTTACTAAAATTAAACGATAAAACATTTTTTCACTAACCTTTAAGTTATGCAGATTTTAATGGAAATTGTTTTTCTTGCTGAAATTAAAAGAAAAAAGATAAAATTTATTATTTAAATTGAAATAAATACGATTAAAAGATTTTTATTTAATTAAAATAAAAAACTAGTTAAACTTGGGCCGGTTTGTTAACTGATTAAAAGATTAACTAGCATTAAAAAACCAAGTTAATAAATTAAACCTCTATTTAATAATTCAAAACTAGAATTTTTTAACATTAAAACCATTCTTTCTTACATGTTATACATGTATAACAAATTTTTTTAATTTTAAAACATATTCTGGTTGCGCATCTAAAAATTTCAAACGAAATTGCACCACATATTTTTAAATCCTGCTCTGACTTCTGCTTCATAAAAAATTCATCAAATTCTTAACTTTTTCCTTCGCACTTTTCTATCTTCGTTTTTCAACCAACTATTTTTGGACTCAACTAAAACAAACTTGAAATTTTAAAACCAAAAAAAAGGATTCAAAACAAACATTTGAAACCTTTAGGTTGTTCACGTTAAACTTAAGCTTATGGCCAAAAGTTGGCAAAAACAAAAAACACATTCCAATTGTGAAAAAATTCTACAACAACAGCAAAGTATTAACTGAAATTCAATAGAGAAAAAAAACAAGAACTTGAAAAAACCCAAAGACAAGTTAAAAAGCAAAAGCAGAACCACCAAAGACAAACAAACATGCAACATTGCAAATACTTCTGAATCTGAGAGATACATTTTATTAGACTGGTTCAAAAAAATGGCTGCTAGCTGAACTGAAGTAGAACTGAATTAGAACTGAACTAGAACTGAACTAGAACTGAACTAGAACTGAACTAGAACTGAACTAGAACTGAACTAGAACTGAACTAGAACTGAACTAGAACTGAACTAGAACTGAACTAGAACTGAACTAGAAATGAACTTTTTTTTTTTTTTTTTTTTATTCAAAAATTTTTCATATATACAGGTAATTATCAATAATAAACAAATGTAAAATACAATAATCCAAAGTATATTATGTATTTTGATTTTACGGCATCATAAGTCGCCAGGAATGGATAAACCTTCATATCAGTTCATTAGTATGACATAGCGGATTGGATATGACATCGATGTTGTGGTTCCATAGGCCCTGGTGTTGAGATTTAGATTTTTTTTTCATAATCTACCCCGCAAAGCTGTTCAGCTTGTCTGCAGGACATTGGATTACAAAAGCGGTTGTGTTGGATATTGTTAGTTATTTGACTTGTTTTGTAGTTCATGTTCAATTTCATTGCAAGCTTATGAGATAGTTTTTAATAAGTTTATTTCTTTTGTGAATATTTGTTATACTTAATATTTGGGTTGGTATTTTGTTACAGATTGTGGGTAGTGATACTTTCAGTGTATTTCTACCGTATTCATTCTGGAAACGTTCAATTTTGTTTTCCCTGGGATCTGTGTCTTGTGTTATGCGAATGATCGATAGCTTGAAGAAGCGTTGTATTATTATGAAATTCTTTAAGTATTGTTATATAATATATTTTTAACGGTTAAGATATTTAACGACTTGGCAATGCCATCAGAATTTTCATTGGTGCGATTTGTTGTTTCATTATTGATGTCATTTATATGGTATTGATGTTTTTTCCATAGTATTTTAAGTATGCGTTCCTGAGTTTTTTGTAATGTACTTTTGTATTTCACGTTTCCCCAAGCCGATATCCCATGTCTTATATATGATTCGACTAAAGAGAAATATGCTTGACGCAGTACATTATAGGTAGCACAATTACTTAAATGATATAGAATATATGACGTTTTTCGAAGTTTTTTTTGTAGACTTCTATATGCGTTTTCCATTCGAATGTGTTGTCGACATATACTCCTAGGTATTTATACGAATTCACCATTTCTATAATAGTCGAACAGTTATCATTGTTACTGATGTTTTTATTGGCATTCTGGTGTAAACATTCATAATCATGATATTTTATTTCTATGTTTGAGCTGGTAAGATGGGGAGGTTTTATGTGCATTAACTTGGTTTTGTTTGCATTGATTGCATAGAACTGAACTAGAACTGAACTAGAACTGAACTAGAACTGAACTAGAACTGAACTAGAACTGAACTAGAACTGAACTAGAAATGAACTAGAACTGAACTAGAACTGAACCAGAACTGAACTAGAACTGAACTAGCACTGAACTAGAACTGAACTAGAACTGAACTAGAACTGAACTTGAACTGTACTTGAACTGTACTTGAACTGAACTAGAACTGAACTAGAACTGAACTAGAACTGAACTAGAACTGAACTAGAACTGAACTAGAACTGAACTAGAACTGAACTAGAACTGAACTAGAACTGAGCTAGAACTGAACTAGAACTGAACTAGAACTGAACTAGAACTGAACTAGAACTGAACTAGAACTGAACTAGAACTGAACTAGAAGAACTAGAACTGAACTAGAACTGAACTAGAACTGAACTAGAACTGAACTAGAACTAAACTAGAACTGAACTAGAACTGAACTAGAACTGAACTAGAACTGAACTAGAACTGAACTAGAACTGAACTAGAGCTGAACTAGAACTGAACTAGAACTGAACTAGAACTGAACTAGAACTGAACTAGAACTGAACTAGAACTGAACTAGAACTGAACTAGAACTGAACTAGAACTGAACTAGAACTGAACTAGAACTGAACTAGAACTGAACTAGAACTGAACTAGAACTGAACTAGAACTGAACTAGAACTGAACTAGAACTGAACTAGAACTGAACTAGAACTGAACTAGAACTGAACTAGAACTGAACTAGAACTGAACTAGAACTGAACTAGAACTGAACTAGAACTGAACTAGAACTGAACTAGAACTGAACTAGAACTGAACTAGAACTGAACTAGAACTGAACTAGAACTGAACTAGAACTGAACTAGAACTGAACTAGAACTGAACTAGAACTGAACTAGAACTGAACTAGAACTGAACTAGAACTGAACTAGAACTGAACTAGAACTGAACTAGAACTGAACTAGAACTGAACTAGAACTGAACTAGAACTGAACTAGAACTGAACTAGAACTGAACTAGAACTGAACTAGAACTGAACTAGAACTGAACTAGAACTGAACTAGAACTGAACTAGAACTGAACTAAACTGAACTAGAACTGAACTAGAACTGAACTAGAACTGAACTAGAACTGAACTAGAACTGAACTAGAACTGAACTAGAACTGAACTAGAACTGAACTAGAACTGAACTAGAACTGAACTAGAACTGAACTAGAACTGAACTAGAACTGAACTAGAACTGAACTAGAACTGAACTAGAACTGAACTAGAACTGAATTAGAACTGAACTAGAACTGAACTAGACTGAACTAGAACTGAACTAGAACTGAACTAGAACTGAACTAGAACTGAACTAGAACTGAACTAGAACTGAACTAGAACTGAATAGAACTGAACTAGAACTGAACTAGAACTGAACTAGAACTGAACTAGAGCTGAACTAGAGCTGAACTAGAACTGAACTAAACTGAACTAGAACTGAACTAGAACTGAACTAGACTGAACTAGAACTGAACTAGAACTGAACTAGAACTGAACTAGAGCTGAACTAGAACTGAACTAGAACTGAACTAGAACTGAACTAGAGCTGAACTAGAACTGAACTAGAACTGAACTAGAACTGAACTAGAACTGAACTAGAACTGAACTAGAACTGAACTAGAACTGAACTAGAACTGAACTAGAACTGAACTAGAACTGAATTAGAACTGAACTAGAACTGAACTAGAACTGAACTAGAACTGAACTAAAACTGAACTAGAACTGAACTAGAACTGAACTAGAACTGAACTAGAACTGAACTAGAACTGAACTAGAACTGAACTAGAACTAAACTAGAACTGAACTAGAACTGAACTAGAACTGAACTAGAACTGAACTAGAACTGAACTAGAACTGAACTAGAACTGAACTAGAACTGAACTAGAACTGAACTAGAACTGAACTAGAACTAAACTAGAACTGAACTAGAACTGAACTAGAACTGAACTAGAACTGAACTAGAACTGAACTAGAACTGAACTAGAACTGAACTAGAACTGAACTAGAACTGAACTAGAACTGAACTAGAACTAAACTAGAACTGAACTAGAACTGAACTAGAACTGAACTAGAACTGAACTAGAACTGAACTAGAACTGAAGTAAACTGAACTAGAACTGAACTAGAACTGAACTAGAACTGAACTAGAACTTATTTAGGACCCTCCTAATACCCATGTGTGTTAGTATAGCTAAGTTCTGGTATGCGTTTGCATTAGTGGATTTGTGTTAGCACTGTCTTTAGACCCACACACTCGCTCACTCCTTGCTGGCGTGATGTTGTGATGCTGTGTAAACTTGATAGAAAACTGGTTTTAAAAATTCCCGCATGTCACATATTATGCCATACTTTACTTACTAAAACCTACATATAAAACATATAAACATACATATATACTGGCAAAGCTAACAACCAGATAGAGAGGCATACCAACAGACAGACAAACAGACAGTAAACATGAAAAAATCTAACATAGAGTTGAACATATATTGAGCCAACAACCCCAGCCATCATCCAACCAAAAGCAACCGACTGAAGAAAATAACAAAATATTTACTTGGAGTGCAGGTCGTTAAAGGAATGAAATCATTTAAACTAGTTAGTAGTGTGGTCAAAACTAATGCATTGCATTAAAATATGGACAGACAGTAAAAATCGACACAGAATTCATTGGAAGGACTTCTCTTTCATATAATTTACTTTATGAAAGCTTTGTATTTTAAAGGGTTTCACTCTTTTAAATTACTGTTTGCATGTTAAAAATTACATGTATGTACTACCAAGTGCAGTGCACAAAATACTCTAAGCAAATGCTTAAAATGTTTCATTTTCTTTTAGTTATATTTTGCAGAATGTTTTTTTTTACTATTTTGAAGCGGTTTTTTTTTTCATAAGTTGCAAGAATGTTAAATGTGTTAACTTGTT